TGACACCCCAACTACCAAAACACCATCAACTCTAGTAACTAACAACTTATTCAAAACAAGCTCCAAATTCAGGGATGCTCTGCCTATTTCTGAACCAACTATACAAGAATGGGGTGGGGTTCTAACTAATCTTACTAGGGTGCTAACCAGAACAAGATAGAGTTTCTGAGTAAGCCTTTTGGCTGGAAAAAAAAAAAAGTACTGTTTATTGAACCTACAAACTTGCAAGAAAAAGCAATTCATGATTGTGTTTAAAAAAAAAAAAAAAAAAGTAGGCTAGACACAGTGGTGCTTGCCTTTAATGCCAGCCTTGGAAGGTGGAGTCAGGTGGATTTTGTGAGCTTTGAGGCGACATAGCAAATTCTAAGATATCCAGGGCTATGAAGAGAAATCCTGTCTTAAAAAAAAAAAAAAAAAAAAAAAAGCCAGGCAATGGTGGTGGTGCACGCCTTTAATGCCAGCACTCAGGAAGCAGAGGCAGGCAGATCTCTATAAATCCAAGGTCAGTCTGGTCTACAGAGCAAGTTCCAGGACAGCCAGGGCTACACAGAGAAACCCGGTTTTGAAAAAAAAAAAAACAAAAAAACAAAAAACAAATCTTCAAGCCAGTCAACAAAGTAACTTAAAATGAAGAGAGAACTAGACAGAGGATCAAAGAGCTAACTTAACAGGCTTCAAACAAATCACTTTTGGTTTCTTACTGAACAGAGACAGTGTCATTTATGCTTGTTCCTTCCACAAACATTAGCTCAGCTTCACAGGAAAGCAGTCTGACATTTAGTAACTGGATATTTAACCCTCAAGCAAAGTCTGGCTCCTGGGTGGACCAATCTATTCCAAAGTTCAGTCCACAGGAAGCAGGGCGGTGCCTTCTTCCTTCTACTTTCAATCACCCAAGAAGCAACAGGAAAGCTGAGGGGCCGCAGCCCTCAGAGTGGTCACTGGACCACAACACCAGCAACTTTTGCAAGTGCCAATTCTCAGGCTGCCAGACTGAGGGCCAAGTTCTGGATGTGGGCTTTCAGAGTCTTTTGTTTTAGGGGAGCTCCCACCGTGATTGCAGTCACACTGCCAATGGAGAACCACACCGAATATAAACAATGAATCTTTTAAGAAGGTGTGGCTACATGGAACCAGTTAACTGATTTTTTTTCAAATGCAAAGTTAATCCAAGTATTGTTCACTCAAAAGAATAAAACAATAGCCAGGCAGCGGTGGCACACGCCTTTAATCCCAGCACTCTGGAGGCAGAGGCAGGTGGATCTCTGTGAGTTTGAGGCCAGCCTGGTCTACAGGAGC